ATATATATATATATATATATATATATATATATATATATCATATTGTATTTCAGTACAAAATATTTAAAAAAGAAACAAAAGTGTAATAGTATGTAATAGTCTGTGTACACAATCACAATAGATGTTATGTGATATAAAATTGAGGTTCAATAATATAGTAATTGTAGTGGTATTATAATTACAGAAGCATTTTATGAAAAATATGTACGTCAATTTTATTGGTATTATATTAAATAAAACTATTTTTAAACAATAAAGTTTTCAAAGAGTGAAAAGCTGTAGTAAAATGATGAGTAACATTTAAAATAGATATGTATATACATATATGGATGACCTTAACAAAAGTGTATGAAACTTTTTATTTATTTGTAAATATTATTTTAAACAAAGAAATATTTTAATTTTTTATAAGTACTATGTCAAAATATAATTTTGTATAGACATATATATTTTATTATTGCGTGTATTAGAGCGGGAGTAGGGACAACACCTGCGTGTTTATCTGCTGTAGCATCCCCTATCCTACCATTGCACGACGTCAAATACGACAGTTGTTCGTAGAGCCGAACCAAAGAAGGATCGTTACAACTATTCTTGTTATGATTGTTCGAAATAAAATGAGCTTATATTACGTAGTAATATGTAACATATTCTTTCAAGTATTATTTAATGAATTTAGTGATTATTCGTCTTAGTTATTCAATCAATAAATAGTTTTACGAAGTAGCGAGATAAATATCCACTATTTACAAATGTAATGTCTATTTATTACATATTATATAGTTATAGAGTGTTTATCACTTTTGCAAAGTATTATATTCTCTGTAAATGATGTTTACAAAAATATTAGTTTTATTAAAATTTTTCGTAGCATGCGCCAAGTATCGAACGTCGATACAATCGATAACTTTGAACTTTCAATTAGTTTCAAGTTAAATTGTACATTGTTATCAATCATGACATCGTTTTATGACAATTATGATTATTATAAAAAAATGCTGGAACTACAGGAAAAATTACGAAAAAGGTAAATAAATATAGACTCTTTTTGAAACAGTGGTCTGTAGTAAAATTGTTAAGTATGAGCATGTTATTTTTAAATCTATAGACAAGTCATTGTACATGTTTGTAAACAACTGTTACAGTGAAGAGGAGAGAATAAGATTAGAAGAGAGATTTAAAATACTCGTACAAGAATCTCGTAATAGGTGAGTGTTTAAAAGAAAGTTATTTATTTAAAAGTATTATTCTTCAATTTCTTATTTCTACATACGTATATTTTATACAGATTTTCCTAAATTCTTAAAATAGTAAATTGATTTATTGCGTTTACTATATATGCTATTGAAAAGTGATTAAGAATATGTTTAGACATACACATACATTGGCAAGTAGCTGTTGTTATTGATTTTATTTCCGTTTTACGTAATAATAACACGATAGAATTTCGGAGATTATGTATTGATTTAGAAGCGACCTAGTTTTGAGAAATGTCACAATCAATACTAACTTTGTCTTTCAATTGATTTGGAATATAAATTCCTTATTCTTTGTGTTTACGTTTTCTACTTTGACACTTATTCCTTAACTTAACCTATGTATGTAAACATTGATCGAATATAGTAATACAGGGTTTGTAAGATTTGCATAAACATTCCCTTAATTTGGCACTGGAACCTTCATATTTTGATATACATACTTGTACACAATTATACATATATATTTTGCCAATGTCATGCAATGTCCTTCGATTATGCGGACACATTCGACAAACTATGCTATATAAGATATGATTAACAAAGATGAAAGATCTTTTTGCTTACGATTATTCATTTTTTACTCTGGTAATATTCTTTAAAATGGATTCCTTTTTTTTAAAGAAATGGGAATTTTATTTTGAAAAAATTATGAAATCATTGATATTTCAGGCATGATGCGTGTATAAATCGATTGCGTTTAAGATATATAGAGTTTTTAGAAGAACAACGTACAAGAGATGAAAGAAATCATAAACTTCTTGAAGCATTGGATAGAGTAGATAATAGCCTTGCATTGATGACTGCAAAAACAGATAGACTTAATGTTCTTAGAGTGAGTTTCTTTATCTTCTACAATCTAAAATTAAAAAACTCATCATTCTACATATATATGTTATAGTTATACCCGAGACATTAAATAATTTCTCGTAATTTACATGTGTTTCGTTTTCATAGATTATTATGTATTGGTTAAATAAAAGATTTTTATGCAAGTTAATTCATATGGACTAAGATCATACATTTTGTTTTTCTTTGAAAGCACTTGCAAGTACAATGCACGTCAACTAACATTAACGCACAGCATGTGACTGTATAAATATGAAATACTTTGAAATAAGATGTGTGCGATTCGAAATACATACTGCAATGTAGAATATCTCGTTATTTTTCAGAAACAATATGAAGCTTATCTTCGTCGTATTTATACAGTCCCTAGCCCGTCGACGAATATTAATGATGACGGCAATGTAACGAATCAAGGTGAAGATAGATATTTAAGGAGAGATGTCACCGTGGAACAAATCTCCCCCGAAGTAGAAAATACTTTATCGCCTCGGTTGCTGCGGTTGAACGGTCAAAAGAACCGATCGATTTCTCCAACTGCATCGAAATTAGCTAAATCAGCCCAAAATATGGGTTGCGACTATTATCAACGAAATAATGCGCAATCAATAACTTTAAATCAGCAGATAAACAACAAGAATATTTTACGATCGTATTCATCGATTCCACAAGATAACGAATCGATACAACAACCAACAACGCAGAACATATCGCCACAAAATTTTCAACAAAAGCGATCGTATGTTCAAATTGATCCAAATTTACACATTCCGTATGTGTCACCAGGTCGATCGTGTTCGTTGAATCAACAAACTACTTCGCATTTTAACTGCAGCAAACCCTTGTTGGAACGAATGGAAATACCTCAAAATATGTCGCAGTTTATGGTTCCAGAACGTACCGACTGTAGTATGTCGCAGTATAAGTTGTTGGATGTGTCTCCAAATCGATTTGCTCCGATGACTCTACATTATGTTCATTCATCATCAGTTGCGCAACCTTTCCAACGAAAAAGTAATAGAGCATTGTTACATGATACGGAAACACAGACAAGAAGCGTCGATATATCCCCGAGTGAAATATCTTCAGTTTATAGGACTATGCCAGTGTCTGAGGAACGAAACCTGTGCGGTATGTCTTCGCTAAACAAATCTCCAATTTTATCAAAACAAACTTCTCCGCGTTACTTTGATTATTCTTGGAGGAAACCTGATCATTTCAAATCAAAGCACAAATCTGTTAGCGGTACTTCCGTGCGCCCGCTAACTACTTCCGACGTCGACAATATGATAAGACGATACAAATGTTTTACCCCAGAAACTTCCACTAATGCGAGGCTGTCGATGGGTGCCAGACAATCCGCCGAAGAAGACGAAAGTAGAACAGCAACGATCGTAGAGAACGAGTTGGATAGGTACATCGATAAAATTCGGAAACTTCATCGGGACCTTGATGCGCAAAGTTTAGAGGAAATCGATCAGGAGCAGACTATGGGCGATAATATGCTTAACGCTTCTTTGTCCGATGATAATTTGTCGGAGATTCTTCCTGGCGAAGATCAATTTAAAGAAAATCTTCCTAAAAAAATTGAGAAGGTTTTAGCATTGGCGGATGATCTTGCGTCTAGATCGGTGGATCTGAACGTTGCCAACGAGCCTGGAAAAGAACGCATGGATAGAAATAGAAATGTCGATCTAGTTCAAACCACGAAGAGCGGCGCACCGACTTCAGAAAGGAACTACGTTGCATTTTCGGATACACGCAACGGCTGTAAAACATCGGTTACGCTTGCAAAAGACGAAATTAGCAGGGATATTATATTACAGGAGACAAAATTAGATCCACATCAATATATTGAAAATTCTAGGAAAGAGAATCTCAGCAATCTAAGTAACACACTGGAACATTATGAACGACAATTACCAAAAGTGGAAATAGATGACCACGTTGATTTCGCCGTTTCATCGAGTGATAAGGTTACGGAACAAGACACTAAGAGTATTATGCCCGAAAATATAGAAGGAGAAGAAAATAGTGAAAAAGACATAAATATTTATATGGCAGCTGAATCAAATCTTAATGAGTATTCATTTGGTACTTTAGAAGAATTAGAACCATGGAATATGGATGTTTTACAGAAACGAATAAGAGAAGTAGATTTAACTAACGAAGCTAAAAATCAATTTGGTAAAACAAAAGTTGTTATTGATAGTCTAAATCAAGATGACGTAGAACAAATTGAATCTTCAAATGAAATTGAAACTATGGAAAGTAAAGAGGATAAGAAAGGTTCTAGCGAAGATTCGCATGGAAAAGATGTAGATTTGAATACTACGGAGGATGAACTAAAACAAAAAGGTACCGAATGTCTTGTATCAAAAGAAGAGCTTACGAGTAAAGACGAAATAGAAGTAAGTGAGGCTTCTGCTTCACAAGACCAGAAAGAAGAATACAAAGATAATGGTTATACGAACAATGAGGCTGTTATTCAAAATATAAAACCAGCAGGAGATCAGACTGATGAACAGAATGAACCTAACTGTGAGCAAAAGCAAGCACCTAATGAAATTAATCCTACATCTGTTACAGCTCAAGATAATGAACAAGACGTAATGGTACAAGATTATGGCTATACTAATCAAAATTACTACGAAGATTCTAATCAAGTACAGAATTACACGCAAAATTATGAAGCAGAATATACTGGTTTGAACGAGGAATATAATTACGATCAAAATGCGTCGTATGAGAATAATCAAAGTGAAAATTACGATCAAAATATGTCGTATAACGCTGATCAAAAGCAAAATTACGATCCAAATGTTTCGTACGAAACTAATCAAGGTGAAAATTACAATTCAAATGCATTATATGATACCAATGAAGAACAAAACTACGACCTAGGCTCATCATATAAAACCGGTCAAGATCAGAATTACGAACAAAACGTGTATGAGGATAATCAAAATCAAAATCAAGAATATCAAGAATATGTCAATCAGGAATATATGCAAGGTTCGAACGAGCAATACGGAGAATATGCAGGCGAACAATACGGTTCTGAAAATCAGTATGAACACGATACCAACATGCAGTACCAAGAAGACGCGAATCAACAATATGCGTACGATTATGATCAACAATACGAAACCAAGCAACAGAGTGACACCAATATAAACCAATCCTTTGCATGTCCTGATTACGACTCTAATCAAGCGCAACTTATACAGGAAGAAGATAAGCAAAATCAAGAACATAAAGACTTACAAGAAGAGGCAAAATATGAAGAAGCAGAGGGAAAAGTTGATACAGCCCAGGGCAAAAATGAAGTATTATCTTCTGAGAATGGGACGAAGAAAAAGAAAGATGTAATCAAATCTTTATTGGATTCTGATACAGACAGCACTATCGAAAGGAACGTTTCAAATACGGAAAGTGATTTTGATTTTAATTGAAACGCCACAAATTGAGAGGAAATCTGTATAAAATGTACTTGACATTCCAAGCAAGATATTTCCTTCTTATTTCTTAACGCACATCTATGTGATATACGCTTAGATTATATTCGACAATGTAAGTTTAGTGTAATGTAACAAAATCACGTAGGGATCTCTCAACTAAAAAAAAGAAAAAAAGAAGAATATTCCTGTTTGTTCTTTTGTTGTTATTTTTGTTTGATATACACTTGCATTATCTTTATAACAGCCAAAGAACATGTATTTTTAGAACTTTTATCTCAAAACTATTAGCCGTAGTTTTAAAGTTTTAACATGAATAATATATACATATATATATATATATATATATATATATATATATATATATATATATATATATATATATATATATATATATATATATATATATATATATATATATATATATATATATATATATATATATATATATATATATATATATATATATATATATATATATATATATATATATATATATATATATATATATATATATATATATATATATATATATATATATATATATATATATATATATATATATATATATATATATATATATATATATATATATATATATATATATATATATATATATATATATATATATATATATATATATATATATATATATATATATATATATATATATATATATATATATATATATATATATATATATATATATATATATATATATATATATATATATATATATATATATATATATATATATATATATATATATATATATATATATATATATATATATATATATATATATATATATATATATATATATATATATATATATATCGAAATATATATATATATATATATATATCGAATATATATATATATATATATATATATATATATATATGTCTCTATATATATATAT